CGTTCACTCTCTCTGGAGTGACGAGTATGTCTTATCATATTATTGTTCCTGTAGCTACACATACACATAGTACATGTAATTGTACTTCCACAATCTGCTTAGTTACAAACCAAGAAACTATTTTTATTTGCATACTGCAAATTTACAAACGTGTGGACGTTTACAACTATTACAGTGGATCTCAAAATTATCCAATATAATAGTTGTAATTTTAAACCATTTTTTACAGTGCATAGCGCTTGAGACTAGAGAAGCCCCTAGGCCCGTCCGCTGTGATTGGCGGTCGTCGATTTAAAAAAAAGTAACGGAAAAGTAACGAAAAGTTACTTTCTCAAATAACGGTAACTGTATCGAGTTACTTTTAAAAATCGGTAATTAATAACGATAACTTGTTACTTTTCCTACTCGGTAACGAGTAACTGTAACTTGTTACTTTTAAAAAGATCGAGTTACTTTTAAAAATCGGTAATTAATAACGGTAACTTGTTACTTTTCCTACTCGGTAACGAGTAACTGTAACTTGTTACTTTTAAAAAGTAACTTTCCATTCCCTGCTTATCATAGTGGTTTATAAAGATATTCTAGAGTGATCTGAAGAAATAATATTTTATGTACTCGTATAAGGTAATCTTAGATGAGCAAAGTAAATTTGGAAAAATCTCAGAAAATATAATATAATTTTAAATACTCCAAGGTAATATTTTCTGTAATTATCCAAATTTTACGTAACAACAGAAATTTTTCGCGTATTGTTAAATGTATAATAATATATAGTGCGTTAGAATATAGTAGTTAATAGATAGTATTTGATAATCTGGAATAATCTGAGGCAGTATTAGCCCGGATCTACAACAGGTGTTTTAAGCCTTAAGTCATAAGAAATTGACCAATAAAGTACAGTCGAATGCGAAGAGAAGAAAAAAATAATCGACGATGGTTCGTCCATTTTTTATGGCTTAAGGCTTAAAAACCTATTGTATTAGGTCAGTGCAAAAGTTCGTACCCGATTTATTATTCAAAGTTCAAACAGCTGCAATTTTGTTAAAAATAAACGAAATTTAAATTTTAAAAAAGAGTTTTACAACTTGAAATCTCTACTTTCGAATGGTTACTATATTTTTTGAATTTATGAGTTTTGCAATTTTTTTTACATATAGAAAACTACGAGTTAAACAAAACAGGAAATTTTTTCTTCACTCTGTGGGCCTGTCACATGACCAAAAAAAATTGCAAAATTTTTTAATTTCTAATGTAAAAGCTTAAAGTTGTCCCTATACAATCGTTTTTAAAAAATGTCTACGATTTTTTGTTACTAAGCTGTTGCAAATTAAATAAAATGAATATTCTGACTTTGATTATTCATAACTCCACAAAACCATCACAATAAAAAAAAATAGATTCTTAAATTCTCCCATCAGATAGAGTAAGATTTAGATTTTATTTTATTTTTAACAAAAAATAGCAGCTGTTTGAATAAGAAATCAGGCACGAACTTTTGCACTGACCTAATAGATCCGGGCTTACGTAATCTTAAGTAATCTGAGGTAATTTAAAGGTAATTCGTATCAAGGATCATTTTTATACGCTATAACTGCTAGTAACCAACCCCTCGGAGAAGAATAATCAACTATGATTGATCAATTGCTTAAAGTTAAGCTTTATTACTGCACTTAGGCTGAGTTCAGAGAGACGCTATTACCTCTATTTGTCATTTCTATTATGTCATTCTATCTTTAGTGTCTATTGGATGAAACAAGGATAGTATGACACATAGTGCTGATAGTATGCTCCCGAAACACAGCCCTATTGTATTTCAGGACGTAAAAAATGACTTATACTATAGCTTACCTTCCTTCATGTCTAAAACGAAATTTTACAAAAAAATAGTAGATTACTTATTTGTACAACTAATATTTCTTTTTCATCTATGGGAATAATAAAAGAAATTGTTTCTACAGATACCAGTGTATCTTTCCAAGACTTTGGCGGATAAATTATTTATTATTCAGTATCCTGCATATGTCAAAGATAATTACCCCAATGCTACCTTCTCGAAAACTTTCGTTAAACCTGAAAACCAAAAAATTCGTATGGAACTTGCAATGGATACGTCGAATAAACATTCTTATGATTGCTACATGGGAAAACAGTTGGCTTTAAAAACAGATGGAAAATCTACAGAAAATGATGAAATAGTGTTTGATAAGTAATTACAAAATTTTGAACAGCTTTTGATAGAACTTTAATCTACATTTACAAAAAAAAACTTTTTTTATTAGTGGACTGATGGATAAGGTTGTATTGACTTCAGAACGGACGTTGTCGGACTGCTCAAATTTCGCAGTCGGGATCTTTCAGGATGATGAGCTACACATCACACCATTGAAATCAATGTTGCATATGAAACTGCAGTGCGATTATCTTGACGAAAATGATAAGCATGGGACAAAGAACACTGGAGAAGGTAAAAGAGGATTTTTCCTTGCTGATTTATACATGAATATATTTACCGAAATAGCCTGTGTTAAACCTTCAGAGCTTGGCACAAGCGAACGAGAAACACTCACAAATTCATTTGCTAAAATGCAGACGACGACGAGGAGGAAGATAACGCTACTCCGGTGAAGGTAACATTCGCTAGGCATCTGTCGGATAACCTGAAGAAGCTGCAGGAGCAATCTTTCCAACATCACAACAGAAAGAGCCAGGAGGAGCGTTGGATGCATACGAATTACATACCGGCTTACGATACGCAAGCTGAGGTAAGTTATCTCGATATAATCGTGAAGTTAATAATTTTTTTTTGAAGGAAGATATAATTAATGTATTGATGTATTCAAATGCAGCAAAAAAACTCTTGCATACATTTAATCTGTTATTATATTTTTTTTTACATATTGAAATATCTCGTTTGTTTTTACAGTCGACACGGATGGAGATGTTCTGCCCATCGGCCGAAGAATCAATAAATAATCTGAATTTGGGCCAGGAAAATTATCTGCGTCTGTTGGTACCCCAGTTACCTGATGAGTGCTATTTGCAATCCACCTCTGAGGATCAGACAGATCTTCATCACATTTTGACTTTGCCTTTGCTAGACCAAATCAGGAAAATCATGAAACAAGGTGAGAAAATCACACTTGAGATAAAGAGAAAGGAAGATATAAAGATACATATATATATTTAATATATACATATTTAAAATAATAAAATATTTTTGAAATCCTGAAACTTTTGTTTAAGAAACAAATTTGATATTTTTTAGTCTTTTACGATACACGTTTACAAAAATATAAGAGTCAATTTTTTATATGTGTTAGCATAAATGTTTATTGTATAAATTAAGCAGATTTTGATGTCACGTAGGAATTTGATAGAAACAAATCTATTTTTTACAGTGAGAGTTATATCCTTTGCAAAATTATGCGAAATTCTATCGCCGGAACAGGATACAATAACAATACTCAAGTATTTACAGCAAGTAGCTATGCTGGTGCAGGGTAACTGGGTCGTGAATAGTGAACTGATATATCCCAAAGACAGCCTTTCTCCTCAAAACAGTACTTCTGAATTCATGTGCAGAACACGTGATTATATTGTGAGTATTCAAAATTTATTAATAAAAAATTATATCCTGAAATCTAATTTTATTTTTCTTAGCTTCTGAATTTTCAAATCTTACATTAAGATATAATAAAACTCCAACTTTTTTATATCAATTTTGATTATTACTATATTTAATTTTTTGTGAAACCGTTGATTGAATATTTTTTATATTTTTATTAAGACATTGTTTATGTGATCAAAGTTGCTTACTTGCCAAAGTTACTCAAGAAAGTGAAAGAAGCTTAACTATAACTTTAATTATACAAAAAAAATTAATTATATAAAATGTTTTTTTTATTTCTTTTAGTTATTATTATTTACCGAACAACAATATCTCAATCGCAAAACGATCTCGTCCGTCATCAAGTTGCCATCAGAAGAAATTAATCAGATTTTTATGGAGCTTGGAACGTATGAATCGGGGAAAGGTTGGCAACTGAAAGAACCACTCAACTGGGATTTCTGCAAGAGGTAATCGCTACATTTCGTTGACTTCTCTAAAAAAATTCAGTCAAATTCGATGTCCTTCAACAAATATCTTGCTACTCCAATTGATTTCCGGTATATTTCCAAATAATGATTCCATGCAATTTCATTTTTTTTTTTTTCCATAGAATCCATCACTATTAGAATTACCTTAGAAATTAGCATTAATCGTTCTTATTCGGTAGATATTCCGAGATCGTCCAGCGACAACAAATGTTTTGGGATGCGAAGAGGAAACATCTGCGCGAAATAATGGAAGCGCAAAATCAGCCACCGCAGCGTCAACGCCGGAAGTCGAATCGGGAATCGCTAGGTTCGGAAAACGAAGAGAGAAACGTTGGCCGTGGCCGAAAATCGGTTAAGGAATCATCTGTATCGGATAACGACGGTGCAATAACTGAATCGGTTAAGCACAAGAAAAGTCGCTCCAGGAAAATATCAGAAACCACGTGACCAAAATCAGTGCATCGCGGTAGCTTAAAATTCCTCTTTTTACCGGTCACTCTGATCGTTGTCATGTCGTATCTATGAATCACGTGACTGCTTCGCTATGAATCATGAGATTTCTCTGCAATGTCACGTCGACTATGTTGGAAGTTGAGTTTTCCAGAAATATATTCGAGGCTTATGTTCAAAAATAAATCCCTAATTAATGCAATGTGCAAATATAGTATATTATATTAGTATGTTATGCTATATTTATTAATGCAACTCTGAATTTACACGCAAAAACACAAATATATATTTATACATACTGCACGCTTATTATAGGGGAGAGTGGGGAGTTTTGAAGCACGCTTTGTTTGGGGCTCAAAAGTACCACAAAAAAATTTTTTTTTTTTTTTCACATTTTATCTAACCGAATCTCTAGAGCATCTTAAAATACACCTCCTGGTTGATGGATTTGCATAAAATCCAAAGTCATCGGCAATTTTTGTCTGTTGGCCCAAAAAACTGCTTTTTGGAATTTTCAAAAATCGTGGGGAATTGTGAAGCACGACTAAAAATCGCTATATTTTAAAATTGCCACCGCGTCAGTAACACATCGAATGTTTTTGCATAAATACATTTGAACGTCGAAAGCCTAATCATTGTTGATTAATTTGTGTGCACTCACCTTTTCGATTCGCTTGAAAATGTTTATGAAACTGCCACAAACACGAATGCTCAATAAAACTTTCCGAACAAAATGTTGAACACACTGTCTGGAGAGATACAACAAAGGTGTGCTATCGGGATGAATGCTACAAGAAAACTGAGATATTAGGAGAACCAATGTTTTCAGTATGTAAGACCTATCAAAACCACAACTAAGCGACATCTATGGCCGTGCTTCGCAACTCCCCATGCTTCAAAACTCCCCACTGTCCCCTACGTATTATATACATGCGCGTATATGTGCGTATATTTATAATATATTACACACAAATGTAAGAAATTAAGAGTAATATACTATATTTATACATGCTTTCCATGTCTCAATTGTGGGACGTTCTGTAGATGCGATTAATAATTAGTATGGATTTTAATACACACGTTAAGGAGAGTTAAAATTAAATATATATACATTCGGATTTTTTTTTTGGAACAAATATCCTTGATTCGAGCATGACTGAGCAAGCTTTGCTAGCAATAGACTTTTCTTATTACACATGTAGACTAAAATACATACACGTTCACACATACACAAGATTTTATGTATATATGAAATATAGACATTTTACGTACACATAAGATTCCATAATAGGAATGTACTGTAATTGTATCCGATGTTTTCTGAGTGTATTGTTTTGTGAATGTTTACGTTGATTATGATTATATTATTAAAAATATGTATGATATTCATTTTTGTTACTCTATTTTTAATATACAGGGTGTCTCAGAAATAAGGTAGGAGCCGCACTGAGGGCATAGAATGGATCAAGGGGAACAAAAAAGTCTCATACCATTTTGAGATATTCGCTGTAGTTTTTTAATTAAAAAAGGAAATGTATAAGCTAATATGCGGTGAAGCCGCGCCGCGCGAATTCGTAGGACAGTCCATCGCGTCTCGCTCGACAGCGGCGGCGGCGGCGCGCCATTGAGAGTGATCAGTGAAGCGCGATGGACCGTGCTACGAATTCGCGCGGCGTGGCTTCATCGCACTTTGGCTTAGACGTTTCCTTTTTTAATTCGAAAACGCGATTATCTCAAAATGATATCAGATTTTTTTGTCCTTGACCCATTCTATGCCCTCAATGCAGTGATGCACATTTGGCTCCCGGCACCACGGAAAACCAGCCCCATCACTTTTACCCCCACCAAGCAGACACCTACTAGCATCGAGTGATCGAGTCGGCCGTCTTCGCCGCTGCGCGAGAGCGAGCGAGACAGCGAGAAACAGCGCCCGTCCTTCTCGCTCTACCAGTAACTTGTAAATACAAGCAAGTATTAGAACGAAAAGGACGGCCGCTCTCTCTCTCTCTCTCGCTATCTCGCTTCCTCTAGTATCGTAGTCGCTTGTTATAAGCGATCGAAAACTGAAAATGTACTTTCTCGGCCGCTCGGCGTATTCCTGTACAGGGTGTCCCGGCCTTTTTTGCCAATTGAGTTGCCAATCACTTTTGTGTAGATAGAGCGGATTAAACTGTGTCGAAAAGTCCTCTACCACATTTTGCAATTTTCGCAATAGTTAACAAGATATTAATTACTAAAAATTGCAAAATATTGATCTTGAATAATTTTTTACTCAAAATGCTATCAACTTCACAGAAAAACTGCAAGAGACAAAAATTATTTACTTTCTTCTCATAAAGTTCTGAGAATTTTTTCAGAATTCGTTCAGAATTTTTTAATACCGTATTTTCTTATGTTGATAAAAATAAGAAAATGCAGTACTAAAAAGTTGATAACAAATTCTAAAAAAATTCCCAAAACTTTATGAGAAGAAAGTAAATAATTTTTGTCTCTTGCAGTTTTTCTGTAAAGTTGATAGTATTTGAGTACAAAATTATTCAAAACTAATATTTTGCAATTTTTAGTAATTAATATCTTGTTAACTATTGCGAAAATTGCAAAATGGTAGAGGACTTTTCGACTCAGTTTAGTCCGCTCTATTTACACAAAAGTGATTGGCAAAAAAGGGACACCCTATATAAGAGATAAAGAGACATGCACACATATTCTAGATAACGATTTTAATAAATAGATTTTAATAAATTTTAATAATATATCATATACCTGTTCCATTAATAGCAAAAATGATTTTAACGTTAAAAAAATCAAAATGTGTTTCAAACGTGACGTTTTTCGTAATATATCTTTCCAGTACACTCACATATTTTTTATGGAAATACGCCCGTGTTGATATCTTGATATTTTTTTCGAAATTTGAAAATTGGCTTTACAGTTAAAAACGGTAAAAACGAGTATTAGCCTAATTATTCATTTACTTTTTATTTAAAAAAATGCATATTTCAATAATTTTATAATATTTTTTCATAATATATTAATATTTATTAAAACTTAAAAAATGCAATTTTATAATAAGAAAAAATCAAATATAGATTAAATAATCGTTTCAATTTTTTTTAACTATTACATGCAAATTTTAAACATTTGATGAAAATGTGTGTTCAAATATCAACTAAGTTCTACCAAAAAAATTCCATTTATAACAGTACTCCGAGAATATCATTTAGAATGTGTTATTTAATACTAATTGCGATATTTTATTTTCTTTTTACTGCAAATTACCAATTTAAATTTAAAAAATTTTTATACAATATATATTACAGATATCAATACAAATATTCTACCAAACAAATTCTGTGCGTATACTCGTAACTTCACGTTTGAAAAACATTATAATTCTTTTTAGTCTTAAAATAAACTTTATAAACTGCTCTTTTTCTTCTCTAATGGCTTTATTACATTTTTTCAATTTTTTGATACATATATTCAGGGTTATAATGTTTCAATTTTTATATGGCAATTATGCGAGAACTCGTACATTCGTGTATATTACAAATTAATCCCGGACCACGCACACAAAATGGATCTTTTACTATGCTTTTTTTAAATAAGTTTCAAATTTTCTTCAGCCATAAGTATATATGTCCTTCTTTTTGACTCTAGCCCTTCAGAAAATTTATACAAATTGTAGTTGAAGAACTAACGCAGAAAAATAAACGAAAAAGCGCTGTAAAATTGAAAATTTAGGAAATAAGGAACCCACTCTTTGCGAGGAAAGGAGTCAAGTGTTAGAACTATTTCACACATTTTCACTCATTTAAATATGTTACAAATCAAAATCGCTTAACAAAACACAACTGCACATGCAATCTTAATAAATAACAGGTGTGTTACATTCTTTTATAAACATTCTTGAATAATAAATCAATATTCACGCTCTGAAATTCTATATACATAGTTTATGGTTTTCTTATTATTCATACATTCTGTACGAGTAATTTTGGTAGAGAAAGAAAGACCTACGCGTATTATCTTGGTTTCCATTATGTGAAAAAACTCTTTATAAAGACTTTGCAAAATGCATATGTTTTTGTAACTGTAAATACAGTAGTTAAATACTGTAGTTCCTATTCCATATAAATTTTATTAATTAGCGTTTTGAATTAAAAATGTATAATATGCCACACTAATATTTCGTTCGCTTGTTCGTGATCAACATTACTTTGAATTTTTTGTACGTAGCATTTCAATTAATTGTGCGAGTTTTGCTTGGGGCTTTAATGCTTTTAAGTTGCTTTACTTAAACACCTGCTTTATTTCTTTCCTTTCCTTCATTCCTTTGGAAATGTAAAACATTATCAAATAGTTATGATACATCATACGTGACTTATTAGACAATTTTTTACATTTCCTCCTGATGGAAGAAACCACCACCTTCCCGCGGTTTCCGTCGAGCAGTAATATGGACGTGAATATTGATTTATTATTCAAAAATGTTTATAAAAGAATGTAACACACTTGTTATTTATTAAGATTACATGTGCAGTTGTGTTTTGTTAAGCGATTTTGATTTGTAACATATTTAAATAAGTGAAAATGTGTGAAATAGTTCTAACACTTGACTCCTGTCCACATTCCTCGCAAAGAGTGTATTCCTTATTTCCCAAACTTTCAATTTTACAGCACTTTCTCGTTTATTTTTCTGCGTTAGTTCTTCAACTACAATTTGTATAAATTTTCTGAAAGGCTAGAGTCAAGAAGAAGGGCATAAGTATGGCTAAAAAAAATTTGAAACTTCCCAAGTAGAAAACAAACCAAAAATTAGTCAGAAATTGGCCAGGAATTCTGGATACTAGCTAGTTTCTGGTTAGTTTGACTGGCCAGAAACTGACAAGTTTGGGCGATGCTTGTTTTGCCAATAACTGGACAGGGGATGATCCCGATTGACCACGGCTCGATTGGATACCACCAATCACAGCGACCGGTGCCTAGGAGCTTTGTAGTCTCAAGCGCTGTGAGTGGCTCGTGTCCAATTGAGCCGTGTCCAACTGGGTGCCAACCCTTTTTGATTATTTTTTGAAGAGTTTCTATCTAGTTTCTTAATTTTTTTATTTTTTGAACAGTTTTTAAGCATTTGATAACCATTTTCAAAGCAGTTTATGGCTAGTTTCTGATCAGTTTTTAACTAGTTTTATAATAAATTTTTTAGTCGTTTTCTAATTAATTTGTGACTAGTTCTAACTAATTTTCTGAGAAAATTCTAAATAGATTTAACTTATTCTTAACTAGTTTCTAACCAATTCCCAAGCAATTTTTATAGAAATATAATAATAATTAAATTAATATAATTAAATTAAAGTAATATATTAAACTCTTTACGAATTTGATGTGTTATATACAAATTAAAAATTAGATATTACGAGATATTAGGAAATATTTATATGTAATATATAAGTTAAACACATCTTTCTTAAGGAGGTAGTCGAGTGACAGTCACTTCCAAAAGTTAGTTCGTGTATAAACGGCTAAACTTTTTGATGCAATGATACAGCATTGACCAATGAGATCGCTTCACGCACACACTCATTGTCCTGTACCATTCATGTTGACAAAGGTGTGGCAACGTCCTGTTTCACTGTCCTGTTTCCCAAAACATACCTATCACTATAACTTATAATTCATATTCCAGTTTTTTTACAATATTTTATCCGCATAATTCAGAAAAACACTTGTTTTGAATACGTTTAATGTGTCATAATATACCATGTGGGAGATTCCGTTCGGTTGAATCGGTGAGCGACGTTGCCACATGTACGCAACCGGGGTGATCCCGATTGATCACGGCTCGATTGGACACCACCAATCACAGCGACCGGTGCTTAGGAGCTTTGTAGTCTCAAGTGCTGTGAATAGCTCGTGTTCAATTGAGCCGTGTCCAACTGGGTGCCACCCCCAATTTTGTTTATATCATTGCTAACATTATTATATATAACATATCAGTTTTTTAAAAAGTTCGTAAATTCCGATCCCTTTCATATCAAGTTTAATGTGCGTTTCATGACGGCATGGGGCTTATGCTGGATTCACACTGCATCCGATTTGCGTCGTACGATGCTCTGCAGCCAATCAGAAAACAGGATTCCGATGATATTAACCAAAATCCATTGGAATCCTGTTTTCTGATTGGTTGCAAAGCGTCGTACGACGCAAATCGGATGCAGTGTGAATCCAGCATTACATGTAAAATTCGTGAACTTTGAAACGAAATATTTCGCTTATCTTGTGGCTACGACATCTGAAATTTTAAGGAACGATTGTTATGCATACGATCAACATATGC